CCTGGATTTACCCAAGAAGCATTCACAGCGTTGCAAAAAATGGCAGAAGCTTCTCCTCATAAACTTATTTGCGCACTTATTTATGATGAAATGGCGTTGCGCCAGCAGAAGCTGTGGGATGGTAAACGGTACATAGGGGTTGTCGATATGGGAGATGAATTAACAGAGTCTACAACTTTGGCATCTCAAGCATTTGTATTTATGTTGGTAGGAATAAACCAGCGATTCAAGATACCTTTGGGATACTTTTTGACAAACAATTTGACTGGGGAACAGAAATCTAATTTAGTTAAACTATGTCTCATGAAATGTCACGAAGCTGGAGTCAAAGTTGTATCACTAACATTCGATGGGCATGCTACAAATTTTACTACCATGGAGCTACTTGGTTGTAATATAACTGATACCGAAAAGAGGAAAACAACATTTAAGCACCCCTCAGATACTAGCGAAGTTGCTTGTTTTTTAGATCCCAGTCATGTAATAAAATTACTTCGGACCCAGCTAGAAGAAAAAAAGAATTCTTAAATAAAAATGAAGAAATTGTAGACTGGAACTTTTTAGCTAAACTAAACCAGTTGCAAGAAGATGAGGGCCTGCCTACACTTGGCAAATAAACTTTCTAGAAAACACATTTCCTTCAGAAACCAAATTATGAAGGTAAAGCTTGCTACACAGACGCTAAGCAGGAGTGTTGCGTAAGCACTGCAGTTTTGTAGAACTGATCTAAATCTTCCAGATTTTAAACGTTCGTAACCCACTGAAGAATTTGTTCAATTAATGAATGACATGTTTGATATTTTTAACTCACGAACTATGGCCTATTTCGATTACAGAAAACCTATATACAAAGGAAATAAAACTGAAATTTATGCATGATTAAAACTACTTTTACGGATTTTATCGCGTTTATTTTTACTTTTTATTTACTTTTATTTTTAATTCCCGACGTCCCCCGTGTCAGTCCCCCGTGACCATGGGTGCTGGAAAGCGCCCGAAACGTCGGGAATTAAAAATAAAAGTAAATAAAAAGTAAAAATAAACACGATAAAATCCGTAAAAGTAGTTTTAATCATGTATAGTGTTCGCGTAAATATAAGAAATCATTATGAAATTTATGCACTTTTGGACCGGCTTCAGGATTACATACAAAAATTGCAAATAAAAAGTGTCACCAAAAGAAAAGTTATTAAAGACCGTCGACCAACGTACGTTACGTTATAACGCGATTTTATAAGAGAGTTGTGGAAACAAGATGCAAACCTGGTTTTATTGGAACGTTGATAAATATATCAAGTTTAAAGTCACTTTATGAGCGTCTGATAGAAAAAGAAAAATGTATGGTGTTTTTACCTACTTATAAACTTAGCCAAGATCATCTTGAAATATTTTTTGGCTGCGTCAGAATGCATGGGAGCCATAATGATAATCCAAACGTGAAACAATTTAAAGCCATATATTGAAAATTGTTAATGCATTTAGAAATGAGAAGTCTAGAAACTGGAAATTGCATTCCGCTGGAGAATATCGCAATATTGACGTGTACTTCCGCTACACAAATTATTAATTTAACAACTTCATCGTACCGACAAGAAGACACTGATAACTCTGAAAGTGTTTCTTTAAGTTATCTAAAGGACTTGCCAACAGATGTCAACAATTTAGCACAGTATTTAGATGTGCCAGTTTTTAATGACATGAAAAAATCCAGTTTTTAATGATTATACGGTACGTCAGAAAAGAAATCAAATGTGAATCTTGCTTGACACATTTGGTATCTATGGAAAAACAAGATTTTCACAAATTGATTGGCTTGAGAGATAGAGGAGGTTTAATTATTCCTTCCATAGACACTTATAAAGTTTGTACAGCGGCTGAAATTGTAATACGAAAATTTTTAAAAGAAAACGTTGTAATAAAAACAAAAAATGATTATAGGCATGTAACTTCACGGGTTCTAAAGAGTTTTATTGGCAACCAAACGATTTTTATGAATCTGGAGAATGATCATCAATGTTATGGAGTTGATCACAAAATTAATCTGGTAAAATTATTAATAGAAAAGTATTTAATGATTCGATTGCACTATATAGCAAAATTAGAAACGAATGCTCTATGTTTAGACGCTAAACGGCAAAATTATAAGAAATTAGTGCAAAACAAAGGCTGTTAAGATTTTAGTTGTGTAAAATAATTGTTTATTACAATTATTTTTTACACCTAACTTTAACTTTAACTGTCGTAATATGTTGAATTACTTATGTTTTTCAATTATAATATACCTATTATATGATAATAGAGAAATCTCCAAAAAGTGTTATAAAGTATTTTTATTGCCTGATATAAATTAATAAAATCAATTAAATGTAATTAATTATGCGTATTTAACTTTTATTGAATCATTAATTATTTTTCAATTCAATTACAATTTAGGAAGAGAAATAAATCAATATTGCCTAAAACCACTTTATTTTTATACAGTTCTGGACCATATTCCATGGCAGTTTAACTATATAATACATTACCCAAATATAATAGAATAATATAATAGAAATAGAGGAATATAAGAAGTTTGTGATAGCACTAAATAGCTTTTTGATTAAGACGAGGTCTTAGCACGATTTCAAATTCGTTTTTCACCAGCGCGTCCCGCAGTGGGCGGAGCGCAACCGGCTGTCGGAGAGCGCCGCGTGAACACGGTATGCGCAAAGCAAGCAGACGTTTTCCGTGAGGTCTACTGTTCTCAACACTACTAGGTATTATAGTAATAATATTTTGAGTACCTACTCACTAATATCAAAACTGTTTACAATATCGGTAGTCTGGACATCATACTACATTTTAATTATCAATATTTTTTTAAAGTCAGTTTTATGATATGAGTACTTGCTCAGCTCTGCTTAGTCAACAATTTACATACATAAACATTTAAAACGCCAACTCACAAATTCTAAAAAAACCCAGGTTTCGTTGGCAAAATAGCTAAAATAAGAGAAAAAGAATAGTTTCAAACAAAACCATTAGAAAATTCAAATTTATTTTACTGTTTTCTATTACATTACCTCCGGACGATGGAGTGACCTGAAGGTGTACTTTGGTAAACGGTATTGGAACAGGTCGCCGAGTACTACTAAATGTGCCTAGTTTGGTCTCGTTTTGTTAGGTTTGACGAGCCCTTACCTCACCTAGGTACTTTGGTAATCGCTATTGGAACTGGTTGCTGAGTATTACTAGGTGTGACGAGTTTGGTCTCGTTTTGTTAGGTATGATGAATGCTTACCTTCGGACTTGATGGAGTGACCTGAAGGTGTACTTTAGCAATCGGCATTGGAACAGGTCGCTGTGTACTACTAGGTGTGCCGAATTTGGGCTCGTTTTGTTAGGTATGATGAGTCCTTACCTCCGGACTTGACGGAGTGACCTGAAGGTGTACTTTGGTAATCGGTATTGGAACTGGTCGCTGAGTACTACTAGGTGTGACGAGTTTGGTCTCGTTTTGTTAGGTATGACGAGCCCTTACCTCCGGACTTAACGGAGTGACCTGAAGGTGTACTTTGGTAATCGCTATTGGAACTGGTTGCTGAGTATTACTAGGTGTGACGAGTTTGGTCTCGTTTTGTTAGGTATGATGAATGCTTACCTTCGGACTTGACGGAGTGACCTGAAGGTATACTTTGGTAATCGCTAATTGGAACTGGTCCCCGAGTACTACTAGGTGTGCCGAGTTTGGGCTCGTTTTGTTAGGTATGATGAGTCCTTACCTCCGGACTTAACGGAGTGACCTGAAGGTGTACTTTGGTAATCGCTATTGGAACTGGTCGCTGAGTACTACTAGGTGTGCCGAGTTTGGGCTCGTTTTGTTAGGTATGATGAGTCCTTACCTCCGGACTTGACGGAGTGACCTGAAGGTGTACTTTGGTAATCGGTATTGGAACTGGTCGCTGAGTACTACTAGGTGTGCCGAGTTTGGTCTCGTTTTGTTAGGTATGACGAGCCCTTACCTCCGGACTTGTGGAGTGACCTGAAGGTGTACTTTGGTAATCGGCATTGGAACAGGTCGCCGAGTACTACTAGGTGTGCCGAGTTTGCGTTCTTTTTGTTAGATATGATGAGTCCTTACCTCCGGTCTTGACGGAGTGACCTGAAGGTGTACTTTGGTAATCGGTATTGGAACTGGTCCCCGAGTACATTTTGTTAGGTATTCTTCAACAAAACGAGCCCAAACTCGGCACACCTAGTAGTACTCAGCGACCAGTTCCAATACCGATAACCAAAGTACACCTTCAGGTCACTCCGTCAAGTCCGGAGGTAAGGACTCATCATACCTAACAAAACGAGCCCAAACTCGGCACACCTAGTAGTACTCAGCGACCTGTTCCAATCCCGATTGCCAAAGTACGCCTTCAGGTCACTCCATCAAATCCGGAGGTAAGGGCTCACCAACCTAACAAAACGAGACCAAACTGGACGACGCTGGAACCAGAGTGATCTAAGTGACATTTTTGCCAAAAATGGTTCTTGTAGACAATTGCAAAGAAAATGCGTAATTCTTTCAGGCCATACTGATCTAAGTGCTTCCCAGTATTTTTTTCCTTGAGAAATCACAACATCTCACTATAGAATCGGTGCGGTTTGCAAAATGAATGGAAGACTGATCTAAGTAATAAGAGCGCACTTAGATCACTGTGGTCGCAAGTTGCTGGCGTTTATGGAAATCCTAACTGATCTAAGTGCAATAAAGAAATAATAAATTAATTGTGTACAAATAATTTACGTATTTTTTATTTAATATCTATGTTTATATACTTAAAACAAATAATATGGTTTGATATCTTTACAAAACCACTGAATATTTTGAAACTGGCAACACAAACGCAGTCACGTCTACAAAATCAAAATCAATTGACTTACTTGTCATATTGATTTCGGTTTAGTCACATGCGCTTGCGATTATCTTTTGTTTTATTAAATATTTTAATTGAAATGGTGTTACGTATACAATGGATAACAGATACAGAGCTAAAAGAATAGTGAATATGGCATTGCAATCTTCGCCGCCGCCATCTTCATCGACTTCAACAAATGAAGATTTTTCAAGTGATCATTCTTCTTACCATCCACAGCAAAATGTAGAAATTTCCACAGAATTAGAAGACAGTGAAGGTATGTATTGTTGTCGAATATAAAGGGCTGGAGAGATTTTACTTTTATTGTGTGATTTGCAGTTCGATTTCAGAATCATATTTTTTCAAATATTGTTGCTTGACTTACAGTTATGTTCTTTTAATCAATTAGCACGAAAATACTTATAAGGCTATACTCTAATAAACTACTTCCTTAATATAACCTATTTTTATAAGCAAATACTCGTCTGTTGCGTTTTTGCTTCATTTTTGAATCTGGCTTGGGCTTGGGTTACAGCTTATGCTGTTCTTTACAGATAATGAAGTAAGAAGAGATCCAGAGGGTCCTATAGGTAACTTGGGGGAAATAAATCATCCAGATTCCGATGAACCTGTCAGAGGAAGAAAAAAAGTTCGGAATTTCGACAGATGGGCAAAGAATATAAGGAAGCGAAAGAGAACTGCAGGACAAGAATATCGCAACGTACAAGGTAGTATTGTCCCAGCTAAAGTATTTACACCAGTTGTATGCAGCTGTAGGTTCAAATGCAGGGAGCAGGTTTCATCCGAAAATCAAGAAGCAGTACACGTAATATTTTATAAGCTCACCTCATGGGATACACAAACAACATGGTTGTGCAGCGCCATTAAGCCTTTAGAACCAAAACGCCATAAGCAAAGACAAAATGCTCAAAATCCTAGCCGCATAAATTATGTACGCCAATTCATGCTGTTGGACAAAAGAGTTTGCAAAAGTTTCTTTTTAAAGGTCATACAAATATCTAACAAAAGATTAGATTATGCATTACGCAATAAAAAATCTGTCTCTGGAATAGCGGAAAGAGATAAGAGGGGACAACATGTACCTGCTAACAAGCTGTCTGATGAAAAGTTGAATTGGCTTAAAGACCACATTAATAGTTTTCCGAAATTTGTGAGTCACTATGGAGAAAGACGATCAATAAGAAAATATTTGCGCCCGGATCTTTCAATGAACAAAATGTATGAACTTTTTAAAGCAAAATGTGAGTCAGAAGGAATACCAATATTGAAAAAGAGTGCGTACGTCAAAGTATTTACAACCGAGTTTAATTTACACTTCTATATCCCTAAGGCAGATACTTGTAAAACCTGTGATATGCTCCTGATAGCAATAAAGGCGGAAGAAGATATAGAAACATGCCTAGCTATAAGGGTACAAAAAGATCAGCATATTAAACTTGCAGGCGAGGTAAGAAACATATTAAACGACTGTAAAGGTAAAGTCAAAACTGACGAATCGTTATTAGTAGCTACTTTTGATCTGGAACGAACCCTGCCTCTTCCTTATTTGAATACTAGTGAGGTCTATTATTTAAGACAACTGCAAATGCTGAACTTTGGTATTCATGCTTATACTAAGGAAGGAGAAAAAGTTTTCATGAATATGTGGCCAGAACATTGTGGGGCCAGAGGCTCACAAGAAATTATGTCGTCACTTCACTACTTTTTAGAAGATTCCGTGCCGGACACTGTCAAATCACTGTGTTTTTTTTAGCGACTGTTGCTCCGGGCAAAACAGAAACTGGAACGTTTTACACTTTATGATGTTTCTGGTCAATAAATCGCCATATCTAGAAACGATCACCATGCATTATCTCGTCAGTGGCCATACTTACCTGCCTAACGATACCGACTTCTCTTTTATAAGTCGAGAACTAAAAAAAGAAGACTGATATCTATACACCAGAAGATTGGATGAAGCTCGTCCGAGACTGCAGAAAACAAAAACCTTTTCCTGTGAGAGATATGAAAAATAAGTTTCTAGATTATGAAAGCCTCACAACACTTTTCAAAGATTATCAGATTGTATTAAGAGAAGGTGCAAAAATTTCTAAGATGCGGAAGATAAAGTTTTGTAAAGGTTCAAGTGTAATCAGTTACAATGACGACTACACTGAAACATATGAAACAGTTGATTTAAAACCAAATGATATGGATTCTGAAACTTTTTTTGTAACCTAAAGAATTATATACCAGAAAAAGCCCCTGAAACTAGACTAATATCGTATCAAAAAATGCAAGATATTAGAAAAACTCTAAAATTCGTACCTCCTATCCATCATCAGTTTTACTTGACATTATCACATGTTCCTAGAAGAGGTGGCAACCAGGAAGCAAAAGATGATGAAAATTTTTTTCCTGCTGTATTTGGTGATGATTAATGTGATTTTTCTTACGACATCAAAGTGAAAACTTACACTAATAATTCATTTTTTTAAATTTGTGATCTGCCATAGTGATCTAAGTGATTTTTTTTTTGTTGTAAAACTACGAATATTAGTTTTAATAAATAACTCATAATGATAAAAATTGATATTTTTTATTTAAAACTCATTAGAAGTACATATAACAAAAAAAAATAATAAAAAGCCTATAGATTTCCATTAATATCGCGTAACGCATTTCCTTCATTTTCTCAGAAACATACTATTGTGCCCTAGATCACTCTGGTTTCAGCGTCGTAATTTTTGAGGTATAAGAAATCAAAAACAAATTCGATCTTTTAAATTATCAAAATAATTTTATTTGACTACGATTCCCGCAGCCAACCGTGCGTACACTTGTGTGCGTAACCGGTGTCAATGGAATAGTTCGATTCTATACCTATATCAATTTTGTAAAGGCGTCCTTAAAAAATCTTAACGTAAATACTGCGGCAAAAAGAGCGACACGTCTCTACAGCACCAGGCCTCGGCCGGCATTGACTGCACAGGCGTTTACGCAAACATTCGTAATACGTACGAATTTCAAAAATAAGAATATGCGATTTTTTAAAAAAAAACTATTAGTTGGTCTATAAAATTAAAACACTATAACGTTAATATGTTGAATGTATAAAAATCTGACAAAAAATCAGAATGATTGCATGTATACTAGTATGGTTTTTACTTGTTAAAAGAAATTTTTGGAGGTATGTTTGTGATTTTTTTCTATCGTATAAAATTAGTGGTATCATGTTTTCAACACACTATCTAACTAGCATATATCCTGGACAATATCATATATTTTTCTGGGTTTGTTTACTGCAGTGGATCATATACTTTGAGGCATTATAAAACTTGCGTTTAGGGTAATGCCTCGTCTTAAGAAATGTTACTATAAATTAGATGAATATTATGTTAAGTTAAATAAATATAGTAATAGAATATACACTAAATACTATAATAATATAAATATTAGTATTAGAATTAAGGCATTAGAGCTAGCTAGCTTTATTTCATATTGTTATACCCTTGCTGGCTGCATGTGCTGTAATTTATCACACAAAACCACATGTAAATGCAATAAATAAATAAAGAAATAAAAGACAACCACAATTTAAATACACACCATAGAGACAGAATATACCTACCACAATTAAGAATTAAAGATTTTACATGGTAAAAACACAACATTTACAATAAATTACCTATCCACATAAAAACTGAAAATAAGATTACACTATTCATTAAAAAAATAAAGCATTCTTAATTGAAAAATGTTTCTACTCAATCAAAGAATACATTTAATCACTAGTAACAAAACACAAATAACAAATTACATATTTTTAACACAAATAAAATACATAAAAAAGGAAAAAGCCGTTTTGATACACAATAATATTATGGACAGTATCAGTAAAAGAAAAAATATGTGTTTATGTAAAATGTCACAAATACCTTTATTTTGCATGATTTAATATTGTTCAATTATTAGACTATATTATTAATCATTAATCTAATTTCTCTATAATGTTTGTATTTAATAACTTATTTTATCTATACTTTCTCAAATTTGCTATGCCTAAAAAAGAATACTAAGTTGAGATTATTTACACTTGGTTGGCAAATAAAAGTTGATTGATTGATTGACTAACATCATGTGTTGTAGTCATAAACTATATGAAGCTTTATTATGGTGGTAGCATGAATGGATCAACTTGACTAGGGTAGAACCACACTCTCACAAAATACCGGCGTAAAATAGCAGCCTAATACTGCTCTGTTTTGTATGATAAGTGTAGACATCTGGAGACTTTTTACTGGAAACAAGGCATTCCCACATTAGTTCCATCAAAAGAGGTGAATTTCTGGTAGTTGACTTTAACATCTGATGAAGAAACAAATACAACATGTTGAATAAAACTGTTATGATGGTCATAGGTGTTATGGGTGACACTGAAAATATTGGAAGTTAAAAGTAAGAAATTTAAATAGGATAATATCCGTATAAGTTTTATAAAAACTTGTTTTGCTTTTAGTGGTTTTGTTTCCTTTTATTCTACTGTTAACAAAACTTCATCATCATCATTACAGCCCTTTATAAGTCCATAGCTGAACATTGGCCTCCCCCAAGGAATACCACAAAGCACAGTCCTGAGCCATCAGCATCTATCGACTTCCTGTATATCTTACCAGATTGTCCCTCCATCTAGTGGAGGGCTGCCCTACACTATGGCTACCGGCACAAGGCTGCCACTTGAGAATCTGATGGTAACTGAGGAAAGAATGTTTATATTTAATCTATTTTCAGTATTCCTGATAATAATATATATTTTGATACATGCAGAAATGCCCATGCCATCTACTTCTGGAACTAATGAAAATAAGGAGGATTGACACAATGGATATCAATATAGGGAAATATTCATTAATACTTTGCTCACATATTTTTCTTTATATATAAACAAGCAAATTAAATTAGCCATTAAGATACACATATCTATACTATCCTGTGTTTATTAACGGACATCTTATGGATTTTCGACAGATTGTAGAAAAATCTAAACTGGCGACCAAAAAGTAGAAGGTGAATGCTAATCTGTCAAGTACAATAGTAGAGTGTTTACAAGCTGATGTGAAGTCAAACAATTGAACTATTTTATTAATTCAACTGTAATTCTCATTTGTTTATGTTGGATTTTATTTTATGAATAACTTTATACGTGATCATTGAAAAATTAACCCTTAGGTCCTTTTTAGATACAATCACTCCTTTGCAATACTCACACAATGTTAAACAAAATGCTACTATGTTTATCAATACATTATTACTTTTTTTAAATAAATTTTATATTTGTTGCAGGGTAAAAACTGCCTAGGAGCACTCGGCTAATAAATAACTTAAGCTTTGAATATTGCTGCATATTTGGTAAATATGGAGCAACAAATATAAACCAATATATAGATACTACAAGGAGAAAAAATTGAGAAAAATTGTTACATCAATTGAATTGAATATGTGACCTATGTGATCACCATCATCCACCACCATCCACCACCACCAGAACCATCAGTTCCTTCGATAAAAAAATTTGATTGTAATTATAGAGGTTTCAATGGCTGTGGCAATATTTAAAAGAAATTGATGTTTTGCGCCTAGAAGGAAAGAATTTGCTTGTACAAGTGCAATTTACACTGATATGTAAAAAAAACACAATAATTATATCTGTATTTTATTTCTTTATATCTAAATAAACGTCAATAATGGTTTAAATTTTCAAAGTTCTGGGAGGATTATTTACAGCCACTAGCTACTAGGCTGAAACAAATAAATGCCTTTGCCTTAGATAAATTTAAAAACCTAAATGTCACTTTCAATTTTTGAGGCTCGCTATAGACCAATTTTTTACTATGCAAGATTGTCGTCTGTACGTTAGTACTCTTATTAGTTTGTGGGTAGAACGATTTAATCAGACATTGGAGATATACCCTGCCAAAGTTATAGACTATCGGCAACGAGATTGGGACAAGCACATACAATCGTTTTTGTTGTCATATCGAAGCGATGTTCACGAAAGTACATCAGTGACACCAGCCTTCGCAAACTTTGAAAGAGAATTACGGCTGCCTGCTGACCTGATCACCGGGATACCACCAGATGCCCCACGCAGTATAACCGATTATGCAAATGACTTCCCTATTCATAAAACCGTCCCTATTCGTAAACATAAATGAAGACGATATTAACGATTTCCTCCAGCCTACATACAGCGACATAGTTTTAAGACCTGTTGGCACATAGAAAATAATACAGGCCCGTTCGTACTATGGTGAACATAAAAGAGCGAACGGAACCTTTCCAATAGACGTGAGCAGGGAGAGAGCACAATACCTACTGCAATAGCTGTCAACTTCCGCCATGCAGTAGCTTTTAAAAGCGAGAATAAAGTCTAGGCACTGTGGTCAAAAAATATACTTTTGTTATATTTTAATTGACTGCTCTTTAACCGGCTGAGACGCCATACTAGCTTACTATTGTAACTGCAAGGTCGATAAAAGGACAGAAAGTTGTTGCGCCCATACAATGACAGTAATATGGTAGTTGGGTTATGAGAGAAATAATACAGAAAATGTATAGCCTCCGGCTGTTTTCTAGGTAACATTTTGTTAAGAAGTGAAGATAATAATTAAATAATTAAAAAAGTTTAAGTTTTATTTTACTTTATTTAATAATAACTACAAAACTGCACTCTTTGTGTTCTTTTTAATTTATTCAAGAAAATTCACAATAACG